TATTATTATTATTATTATTATTTAATTCATATTACTCCCTCCGGAGCATAAGGAATCTGTGAAACGCTGTTTCACTTCAGTTTCTTCATCCTATAGAGAGTCAATGGGACTCCCTAGACGGGGGATTAGTCCGTCATAAAACTGCTACCTACACAGACATAGAATAAATGCAGTCAGACATCCATGCTTCGAGTGGGTTTCGAATCCACCATCACAGTGTTTGAGTGGGCGAAGATATTTCATGCCTTAGACGGCGCGGCCACAGTGACTGGTTAATTGTGATTGTGATTAATACTCTGATTTGAAAGGGGGATTATGATAGTCAGAAGGGTGATAAGCTGCTGTAATGAAGGCTCACAAAAAATCCTTGGGTGGAATTAGAATGTGCGATTCCAGATTTTGGTTTGAGTACTTTGCACTTCCAACCTTAAGTGTTCTGGTCTCAAGACAAGATAATTCTTCACAGCCATACGTAACAGAGGCCGCCTGTGTGGTCTAGTTGTCAGAGTTCGTGGCTACAGATATAGAGGTCCCGGGTTCAATTCACGGCGCTACCAGATTTTTTCTGAGAAGTAGTGAGTCTGGAACGGGGGTCTACTCAGCCTCGTGAGGATAATTGAGGAGCTATTTCAAGGAAACAGCGGCTCCGGTCTAGAAAACCGAGTATAATGGCCGTGGGGATCCTTTGCGCTGACAACGCGACACGCTCTATCCGCTTAAGTTGGCACTAACGTCGCCGACAAGCGGCGGTCGCTCGGTCGGTATAGTTCGCTTGCGGACTAAAATCACGGAGTTTTTTTTCATACGTAACATCAGGCAAAAAATTGTTCTGCATATCTCAACTTTTAGTGTTTAGTAAAGTAGACAAAAAGAAATTTGACGGCAAATACAGGGCTACATTTACGATAACCAATCTTATGTTGAGTGTCACTGGCCACAATCTTACCTTCATATTGGAGTTTCCCTTCTTCCCTTGCAATCTAGAGAAATACTGTGGGATGCAGAGCGGAGCCCTGACCTTATATAGACACTAGCATACACATGTGAGACAGAATTGGAACCACGCGGATCTGAACCACGCCCTTTATCAAAAACACCACTTTGATCTGTCGACTGTAGCCTTACGCAGTGACCTTGCTACCAATGTTTCGACTTCCCGGATAAAGCCTTACGTTTCCATATAGTTTGTCTTACGTTGGCTGCAGTGTTTCTGAAAATTAGTGGCCTATCATTCAATAACTCATGGACAGTTTCAATACAATATACATTTAAGGCATTCTTGAAAAATAATTAAAATAAGTTTACAACATATGAATCCTAGTCTTGTGCCCATATCCGAGATTACTGGTTTTAACCGCAGAGAAAGTCTCGTCGCCAAAATGCAGGGCAAAATCATGACATAAAGATAGGAAACAGATGTTTTGAAAATGTGGCACAGTTCAGATATTTGGGAACAACGATAACAGATCGAANGTATAATTAGAATCATCAAGTCAAGGAGGATGGGGTGGGCAGGTCATGTAGCACGAATGGGGGAGACGGATGCGTATAGGATATTGGTGGGAAAGCCAGAAGGAAAGAGACCACAGGCAAGACCAAGGCGTAGGTGGGTGGACAATATTAAAATGGATCTTAGAGAGATAGGATGGGATGGTACGGATTGGATGGATCTGGCTCAGGATAGGGACCAGTGGAGGGCTCTTGTGAACACGGTGATGAACCTCCGGGTTCCATAAAATGCTGGGAAATTCTTGAGTACCTGCAGAATTAGCGGCTCCTCCAGAAAGGCTCAGCTCCATGAGTAAGTAAGTAAGAAAGTCCAGATCACGGTTTCATATGATGTGACTCCGTGCAATATGGTAAATGTGCACCACCGTTTCGGAGGAAATTCTCAGACATCTGCTCTGAAGATGGAGATAACAGGTTCCTCTTAAACGTTGATGGCTTTCTGCCAAAACACACAGCTTCGTGTCCCAGAAGACGGTAATCCATTCATATGTATTCGTGCTGACCGAAGTTACTTCTCACAAAAATTAAGAGCGGAGTGAAGCAAGAGAATGTTTGCTGCCATTAAAATTCAGAAACTTTAATGTTCCCTTTTTCGAAATATAAACGTATAGATTAAAATACAAAAAGTGTCTATATCTATGTATTACTTTGCAGGGGTGTGAAACTTGGTCCGTCAGTCTACGAGAAGAACACAGATTTAGGATACAGAATTTGAAGTTCCCATGACGATCACTATGAATATTACCATAATCTGGGATGTGAGGACATGCATCCAGGCAGCTGTTCGCCTTCTTTCATCCGAGAAGTCGATAAAGATCTAGCAGAGTACACGGCTACACGGCTCCAGAAGACAGTTATCATCAAATTGAAGATATTTAAAAATATTTTGAACCTAACACAGGAGAAATAACAGGAGGATGGAGACGATTTCAGAAGGAGGGTCATCGTAATTTTTTATCTTTGATGAATGGCCAAATCAAGGACCGTGAAATAGACGGGACATGTAGAACAGATGTTAGTCACGAAACCTAAATGCAAGAGATAATTACAATATCAAGGGAATATAAAAGATGAATATTAAAATTGGTCTGGAAGAAACAGAATATGAGGGTGTGAACTAGATTTAGTTCGATGAAAGTAGAGATCAGGGGCGGGTTTCATGAAAGCAAGAGAATTTCTGGAATATTTCAGCCACTATTAGCTTTTCAATAAGGACACTGCCACGTATTGGTTCTTCACGCAAATAAATCAGCGTTATAAGGATTATGAACACTGTGGGTTCGAATACATGAACATGGAAGACAATTCACTAAGAGGATGATATTTTTCTAACTCTGAATTTATTAAAAATAATAAACCACTTCAATTTTTGTAAGAGTTTAAGTTTTCACGGCCGTGACTATGAAGAATGCCGTCTTCAGGGGTGTGACATTCACGCTCATTCATCGCTCGCGGATATATCATACCCTAAAAATGGAGGCGATACGTTCCTCCGAAACGTCGGTTAACAAAATATCTACACCACATCCCAGAAGACGGTATTCTTCACTTCAACTTTTGTTGAGTTACTTCGAATACCATAAGACTTGTCGAAAAAGAGTGTCCTGTGCATAAAATGCATGTTTCGTTTTTGTCTATGGTTTTGTTCGAAACGTTTTTTCTGCCCGATACACACCTTACAGTTAAGATATGCCCAGAAGCTCCAAGAGATTTTATTGTTAAATTTCCGTTATTTTTCCTTAATTTTAAGCTTAACTGAAATACATCATAAATTGTACCCCTCTCAATACAAGGTTTATTGAAAATCCATTCGCCGTTTCTCGAGTTGGTTCATTCTGGCAGATTATACCTCGCCGTAGCTACTGATAATGTCAGTATTTTTCAGTTAACTGTAAAAGTTCTCTTTAGGCCACTCAACTTCTATTGACCTCCATATAACTTGTGTTGGAAAGGACAAGATGAGATCTTTTATTTGGTGGCAGCCCTGAAGTCAACTTGCCTTACCACTTTTGTCATAAAAATGGTTTTAAAGTCAAATATCACTATTGAAATCAAGAGGCATATCTCAGGAGAAAAAAAATACATCGTCTGAACTTATCTTGTAAGTCTTACCATGAAAAGGGGATCTCTCATCATGCCGTTAAACGCACCTCTGGTAACCTGGGGAGCTCGCAACTGGCGATACCTCGGAACAATCACGTTATTTCCAGGGGGCTGACATAATAAGAGGATCTGGTCAGCCGCTCCCCGCTTTCTGAGGGACTCTTATGACTGAAGTTGGATCGATGCTGGCTGCAGAGAAGTTCATTACTTCCACCAATCAGGCTTAAGATTGTTGTCCCGACTTCTTTTACATATTTTAAAATATAATCCTACATCACTCTATCTGGAGATCTCGACCGAGCACCAGGTAAATTTTAATCCACAAACCGACAAGTAGTCGAAACACAAGAAAGCTCTATAATGCGTTGGGAGGGTCAATGTTATTTCTGGAGCCGGAACAGGCAGAATAACCTAAGACATCTGGTTAATGATGGTGAAGAAAATGATGCATGTTATTTATTTCATTACAATCGACTAATTTCGTGCACGCGGTAGCGTAGTTGGTTGAGGCACTATGTTACAAGCCGGAAGGTCGCGGTGATCATGTCCCGATGAGGTCATTGGATTTTTCAATTCACCTAATCCTTCCGTCCGCACAATGGCCCTGGGGTCGACTGAGCCTCTAACAAAAGGTGCAAAATGGCGGCTGGCGCGTAAGGCTGACCTCACCGCAATCTGTGAGCCGTTTGCCTAGAAAATATGGGAGCCTCGACCTCTCAGAAGGATATGTACCGCCACGGCTTCTTACAGATATAGCTTTACTTTTACTTATAATCGATTAATTGGATTCATGAAGAAATTAAGAATAATTTCGGTGAATTATTCAGGGCATAATCTTCTATCATCCTTCCTCTTATCTAGAAATATAAAGATGAAATTATAGAACACACAAATATATAATTTTACCTGCTATTTATATGAGTGTGAAACTTGGTCTTTCACAGAAGTGAATAACATACAAATATATTGAGGGCGTTTTAGAAAGGGATGGAGATGCGATATTTGGATCTAAGGGGGAGGAAGCAAAGAAGAACTTAACAAGGAGCTTCATGATTTATACTATGCACCAGACATTATCCATTTATTCATCAGAGGCTCTACAGCCCTTTGTTGGGCCCAGACCTCTTCTTCAGTTTAGTAATTCTTTTTACACAGGACCCCTTGTATGAGTGATCAGCCCGTAGCAAAGCCGCTACCTACACACAGGACAACACAAACAGAATAAACGCACACAGACATCCATTTTTGAGTGGGATTCGGACCCACGATTCCAGCGTTCGAACTAGTGAATACAGTTCATGCCTTAGACCGCACGGCCACTGTGGTCGACCCAGATATTATTAGAATAATCAAATCAAGGAGAATGAGATAAACAAGAAATGTAGCACGCATGGGAGAAATGAGATATACGCATACAGTATTTTGGTTGGAAAACCTGAATGAAGAAGAGCTCTTCGGAAGCTAGGGCCGAGATGGCAGGATATCATTAATACTGTCAAGTGTCCTGGTAAAGCGATAAGTACTTAATGGGTTCCAGATTCGATGAATCGATTTGTTGTATATTCACGAGGCGGAACTACGAATTAGTAAAATTAGTTGTAACAAAATCTTACTGTAACCGCAACACTTCGTAACTACGAGCAATGATGACACGACATAAATTAAATAATTCACTTCTGATTTCCAACTTCTTCTCCTGGCGTTTCCTTTGTTCTCTCCTCTTCTGTGTTCTGTCTTCTGTTAGTCAGTCCCCTTACTGACGTAGGTTCTGGCCTAACCGTACGTAGTTTTCGCGTTCCTAGCCGTGACAGTGTTTTGACCCATTCGTTGCAGTGTAAATAGCCTTTAACTATGCGCTGTAACGAAAACGTTTCTGTATGCGTTATCTAGGAATCGATGTCTCTCTATGCAATGTATTGCTTCTTCAGACGTATTCATTGCTGTGGAAACATGATTACCGAGCCGTTGTCTAGCAATGGGCCATTGACTCTGTCACCACTATTGCATCTTTCAGGCGTCATGTCACAATACTTATGCTAAATAATTTAAGCAGGATATGAACGTGTGGACTAGATTCGTGTGACACTTGACAGAGGTCATTGGCTTCATATTAGGGAGAAACTTCGTTATTAGGTGAGCGACTGTTAGCTTCTCAAGAAGGGTTCTGTTCTATGGAGTTGGCTAGTCATTAGTTATCTTGCATTCCGAAGGATGGTAATCGGATACTCTGCAGACCGAGGGGACAGTCTGTGGTTTTGGATTGTTGGAAAATTTAAGAACTGAAAGTCGGGTTTTCATGAGTCAACAATTAGGATAATTATATATATATAGTCGCGTGTTGCCTTGCCTATGT